ATTGTGGTTGTTTGAAAATGTTTAATTTCTATTTATTTATTATATATATGTAGGTACGTAATATGAATATGCATATCGTGGCTGCCTTTAATTAATGCAGCAGTTTATAATGAAACCGTATTTTTTATTATAAGTTGGTATATGTGTATGGTTTACTGGCTATCCTTAAATAAATAAATAAATAAACAGGAAACTTAGAAGTGCCAACCCTATGAATATTAAGTACCGCATGGCTGATTCAACAGGCGGCTAGGGGCCCGTACAAGTTTTGAGGTATAAACGTAGTGAGATTGCTTTGTAACTCCAGTCAAGTAAACCCGGTTCCTCTAGTGGTGTATAATACAGCAATAATTCTCTCAGTATTGTTTCTACTGTGTTTAATTTTGGTGTTCAACAGTTCTCGACAGTGTGTACTTACCCTAATTTACATTATTTGTGCCAAGGAAATATATGTTAGTTGCAGATATTATAAACTAGTTTTGAAATAGAAGAAAACAATTCTCTATTTTAAAATGCATGATCTATGTATGCATGCAATTTTATTCTTATCAGTTTAACCGTTTAATCAACGATTGTGTAAAAAAATATCTTTCTAAACTTTCACGTTTACAAAATTAGTAGATTATAATCTAGTTTAAAAATGAAACAATAGGAATATTTTCCATCCAGAATTTTAAGGAACAGTTTTCTGTATTTTGAACCGACTTCAAAAAGAAGGAGCTTTTCAATTCGGTTGTATTTTTTTATGTTTGTTACGTCATAATTCCGTCAGTTGTAAACGAACTTGGAACATTCTTTTTTATCTGAAAGGATATACTTACAGATTGGCTCGTGAAACACAATCTTTAATATAAAGGACATTTTTATAAAGAAATTTTGAATCAAATATAAATAAAGTACATATTAAATATAACATATGTACAAATAATTTCTATTTTAACAGCAATATATTAATTAACATAATCCATTGTATAAAACTAGCGTTGGTATTCATTGAATGGGTCTCAAAAAAGAATGTTTCCTTAGAATAAATGTTTATATTACCAAAAACTAAAATTCTTGAAAAAACCTGCATCTGTATCAATGACTCTATATAATAGGTATGTACATATCTTGTACTTTTTTTTTAATGTGTGATAGTGGAATGGTACCCCACCCGCACTATCGGTATACACCGGCGGGGCACCAGTGAAAGATGATAGGTGATGATGAAGCAGGCCAGTTAGCCCATTGTGACGAATTCAACAAGAATAGTTCACGATGGTTTCCAGGGGGAACTACGTGGAGGTCGACCTAATAGGGCATATTGCTAGCAATGGGAATGTCAAACTCCATTGCCAACAATCCCTTTCCCCCCACATATCTTGTACTGTGTAGAGTTGTTGGTATAAATACAGGTTGTTATTTTTTTCCAGGTATTTTTATGGTTTTTCCCCCCATGATAAAAATAGATTTTTTGAGATCCTATTAATAAATATAAACACCAGTTTAAAGGAATGGGTTACTTTATACTGTACACCATCTCGTACTGTCGATTCGATCGAAAATGTCTAACTAAATCCCTCAATAATTAATTTAATATTGATTTATTTAATTCAATAATATTATCATTTTCTTTATCCGACTATACAATGCAACAAAAGCAATATAATACAACAACCAAATAGATTTGAGCCTAATAAAATCATATTACATTTGGACAAAGCAAAGATGATCATTTTTATCAAAGAAATCCTATAATTTTTCTGTTACGTTATGAAATGGACGAATTGTAATGGCGTCTGCTCACTCAAGCACAATGAAGTCTGTTTGGTTTAGACTAATATATATTATAAATAGGTGATATAGAGGGCGCTATACGTCAGGCAAAGGTTATTCCTTTGTTAGACAAGGCGATATTACTCGTATGTTAATCATCATACAATTATATACATATATATTCTTTATTGCACTAAAACATACAGTAACAACAATAAGTTAATAACAATGTTAGCAAAGGCGAACTTATCTCTAAAAGAGATTTCTTCCAGTCAACCTAACGCAGTGGCATAGGAAGTAGTGAGTGGGCAGTAGTAGTGCAAGACAGAAATTTAAATAAATATTTACATAAATTATAAATAATTATATATATACACACATACACACATACACACACACATATATATATATATATATATATATATATATATATATATATATATATATATATATATATATATATATATATATACATACATACACACACATACATATACACACATACATACTCACGTAATTATCATAAAAAAAGAAAGAAAAACATTTATACATTGGTGTATATCAATAACAGTTACAATTATGTAATAATAGATGTTTAGTAATATATTGTAAAACTCCGGAGAGAGCCTGGAGATCTGTAGTACAGGTTTCGACCTAGTTCAGACACCAGACTCTCACAAGGATAACAATTTTAATTTAAAGTACTAAATAGTCACACACAGTTACAGTCTAAACAGTTTCCTTGTGAGTAGTGAATAAAGATTATTATTATTATTATTATACAATTATCATAAAAGAAAGAAAGAAAAACATTTATTTGGCGCATATCAATAACAATTATAACTAAAACATGAACAATTATAAACTGAAACATATAAAAATAAACTTATGAAAAATTAGGAATTATGTGACTAAAATAGTCGCCACTGTGTCACTTGACTAGGCATTCATACATAACGTCTCAACGCTGATTTTCTGTGGAACCAATGCGAGTGGTAGATGGCGCTACCAAATACACATATTACTATATGAGAATACAATTTTCGCCAGAGGGAGACTTTGTACAAAAGTCGATTGTTTGGGTACCTCTGTGCCATTCGTGTTTCAACTGTGAAGCAGTTGTGTTTGCATAGCTGTGTTTCGGTTTGAAGGGTGGGATATGGCGTGAATTTACAGGGTACAGAGGAATAACACCTGAGTCTTCAGAAATGGCAACGCATGGGAGGTATCATGGGCGAAACTGTATACACTGTTATGTCCATGGTACTGCTCATGTCTCTAGGCGACGGTTACCACTTTCCATCAGGTGGGCCGTCAGCTTGTTTGCCATTCTAAGTGGTATAAAAAAGAAACATAACTATTAATTGTCCGTGTGGTCCCGGCATAGAATAGGCCACCCGTTTCTTTCTCGTGGGTGTCGTAGTGAAGACTAAGGGAGAGTAAAGTATGGGCAGCAGCGTACCTCTTTAAATATCTCTAAAGTCTAACAGCGGTTGCCAAACTGCCTGCCAAGAGTGGGAACTACTAGAAAAACTCCCCAAGGGGGAGGCTTATGTTCAGTAGTGGACAGTTAAAGGTTGGTATGATGACAATAAGTATTTATTCGTATAACAAAAATAATTATCCAATATTTTTATGCCGTGATGTATATATGTATGTAATTTAGGTTCTATATAGTTATATGTGTGTATTAGAAAGGTTTACTTTAAATATGGAACAACTAATCGGATATATAAGCAAAACGGAGCCAAAGTGGAGAAGGTCAATGTGCCATTCTATTCAAGTGGCAAATCCTAGCTAACGAGTCCATGAGGTAGAGCAAGATGGCAACATGCGCCGTCTTATTCTTTCATGTGAATGACCGAGATGTTTCTATCGATAGATATGTGAATTCGTCTACAGGACCAAGTCTTGACAAATAGTAAACAAGTATGTCGGTAGATATGTTTTCGTCACTGTACTACGTAGAGGAACGAAACGAGGACGGAATTTGCAATGTCGTTCCCTCTCATCTACCTATATTACAATCATATCCCACCCGGCAGCAATTTTGATAGGGTTGTCCCTATGTTGAATACGACTCGTTTTCATTGTCTTACGTTTAAAAAAGCCGTTTCAATTTTAATCATAACAATTTTCGACGCGCAATGGGCAAACATACTGCATATACTACTTAGGTAGATGGAAACACTCTAAAATAGCAATTATAAAGCAGCAAAGCTGTATAAAAGCGTTAAATTAGAACGTTAATAGAGCATTATTACTTTATAATTGAATATACAACCCTATTAAATAGGGTTGTTACTTACACATTTTGGGTAATTACATAAATAGGTATTAATTTAGTAGAAATATAAATGTATTGCTTTATTTGTTTTTGAACACGGACTTGAGTATGAAAATGTGTGTCTAATTAATATATTAGCTGTTTCCAGCGATTTTGACTATGTGCATATATGTGTATAACCTATGTGTAAATGAGGTTATAACCTACCCGTATGTTCAAATCCATTCTGCCGTCTACTCGTGTTTGACTAACAAACAAACATTTTTACAAATTTTTAAATTATTAATATTAGTATAAATAATATAAAGAATTCATATCTAATGTAGTAATTTTGAAACTTCTAGTAAATTTTTCAAATAGTAATCGGAACTATCAATAAAAGAGCACATTGTCATTCCTTTTTAAACGGCTGGCACCACACCTGCAAAGCATTTGGTGTTGCGGGTGATCATGGGCGGCGGTAGTCACTTACCTTCTGGTGAGTCGTATGTTCGTTTGCCTCGAGTGTTATAAAAAAATTAAACAATAACCAGAGGGAGACTTTGTACAAAAGTCGATTGCTTAGTTACCTCTGTCCCATTCGTGATTCAACCGTGAAGCAGTTGTGTTTGCATGACTGTGTTTCAGTTTGAAGGGTGGGATATGGCGTGAATTTACAGGGTACAGAGGAATAACACCCGAGTCCTCAGGAATGGCAACGCATGGGGGATATCATGGGCGAAACAGTATAGTCTGTTATGTCCATGGTACTGCTCATGTCTATAGGCGTCGGTTACCACTTTCCATCAGGTGGGCTTTCCGTCAGCTTGTTTGCCATTCTAAGTTGTATAAAAAAAGAGCCGTATTCTCGTATTATAAAAAAAAAAAGTATCCGAATTCAAAACAATTTTCAATAATTCCATTTGATTTATTTAAAAAGTTAATTCTGTAGCGAATTAAAACGTTAATCGCAGGACAAGTTCCACATAAAACTACCACTAAAAATTATGCACCTATTTCATATTTAACTATGTTATATAAAATTCTTATAAATTTTATTGTACTCCTCTAGTGAATCAACTTGTTCGTGTTGCAATGTAGCTTTCGACACTTGACATTTCACAATCAGTCGTAAGAAAAGTTACTGAGAATTTTATTTATCAAACTGTATCAATACTAACTCGTACTTTATTATATTAGCCGTGACCTGCAAAGAATAAGGGAAATTTATTATAAAATATTTTTTTAATAATTATTAAACGAGACAATAAAGTACAAAGTATATATATATATATATATATATATATATATATATATATATATATATATATATATATATATATATATATATAATGATAATGATTGATTGTAATGATAGCTAGTAGGTACATATATATAAAAACTAATTGTAATGTAATGTAAAAATATTATAGAATAGCTGTCAAAGCCTTTTATTCGGAATATATTAGTTATTCAATAGACCGAAGTCTTAAATACGAATAATACACTTTATAAAGCATAAATTTTCTGAATAAAAAAATCAATATTAAAATCTATTCTCAATTTGTAAATAAATGTATTTACGCAATGGCGTATACACACAAAAAAATTGTGTAGCACAAAAAAAGATCGAATATGAAAACCTTCTTGTTTTTGAAAGCGGTTAAAATGTAATATTTGAGCGCGTTTATTGTTTACAGTTGCACGGAACAGCACGATTTTATCGTCGTGATTTATTAACAGAGTAAAATGTATGCAATTGTATTAAGATGTTTTTAATAATAATAATAATAGTCTTTATGGAATAACAAATTACACCTAGTTACATCTTCTAGCCACCGAGTTAGGCTGAGCCTGTGTCTCAGTGGTTAGTTTTAGCTTTTACTTACTGTTTTCCTTATTTCAAGCGACAAGTTTATAAACATAGACCCATAGATAAATACCTTATAGTATGTACTTTACATAATAAGAATTATATAATATTGCTCACACGTTATGGTGGTAATGTGTGATGTACCGTATTCATATTACTACGAATATATAGTACTTTATCGTATTTCTCAATTTTTTTTTTATACAAGTTAGAATGGCAATTAGCAAACAAGCTGACGGCCCACCTGATGGAAAGTATAGAAATGACCAGTACCATGGACATAACAGAGTATACTGTTTCACCCATGATACCCCCCATGCGTTGCCATTCCTGAGGACTCAGATGTTATTCCTCCGTACCCAGTAAATTCACGCCATATTCCACCCTTCAAACCGAAACACAGCCATGCAAACACAACTGCTTTACGGTTGAAACACGAATGGGACAGAGGTACCCAAGCAATCGACTTTTGTAGAAAGTCTCCCTCTGGTAAATTTTCTGTTATCCTCATACAACTGCATTTTTTTTCTATTATAATAGTCAAATAGAGTTTTAAAATATAGTACGTTCCCGTTGCAAGGCAATGAGCTTCTTACGAACGAAAGAGCTTCCTTCCGAGACTTTACAAGAGATATATTACGAAGAATGTTAACTATTGCACCACTGCTTTGACTTAACAAATAGTAATTTAACAATGAAATATATTGCGATGAATTAATAAATAATAATAATAATAAACCTCTATTAATAAATACAGGGTTGCACTTATACATATTTTTTGCCTTGGCTTACAAATTAGGGTAACCTGTGCCTTGTAAGCCAGTTCTTTCCAACACACAAAAACTAATATTATGTATTTGTACATGCAGAATTAACAAAATTAAATTTATATATAATATTAAACTAGGGTAACCTGTGCCTTGTAAGCTAGTTTATTCCAACACACAAGAACAAAAATTATGTATTTGTACATGCAGAATTAACAAAATTAAATTTATATATAATATACATTACTTACAAGGCATAGGTTACCCTAGTTTACTAGGGTAACCTATGCCTTGTAAACTAGTTCCTTCCAACACACAAGAACTATTATTATGTATTTGTATGTGCAGAATTAACAATATTAAGTTATAATATGAATATAATAAACAGGACGAAGAAAAAAATAAAAAAAAAAAACAAACTAAACTTTAACTAGAAGATTACAGTTAATAAAATGAAAGTTATTATTGTTTCTCTCAAATAAAAAAAAAAATAAAATATTTACTCGTATATATGGTATAATAATCACATAACGTGAGTAATAGAACAATATTATGTTAAAATGTCGCATTGTATTTGTATATTAATAAACGATTACAATTTACACTATGGAATAAAGAAAAATGGATAAACAATGTGGTCTATGTAATACGTTTGTAGCATGTTTAATTTATTTTATAAAACCTAGCCTAATTGTTCATAAGGCAAATGCACAAAAATAATATGCCAAAATTATTTGCGTAACTAATTGTACCTGACAACCCTAGATCGCGGCTAACGGAGCAAGTAATCCGGATGCACTGTATTACATTTACGTTTATCATTAATTTAAATAGTTTCATTAAAAAGACTTATATCTACAGATGTCAGTCAGTGGGATCTTAGTTTATGAGAATTGAGTGCCAAACTTCTACTCGGTTTGAAAATTCATCATTTGCTTTGTCTACATTGTAGCATGTTTAATTTATTTTATAAAACCTAGCCTAATTGTTCATAGTGCAAATGCACAAAAATAATATGCCAAAATTAACGTAACTAATTGTACCTGACAACCCTAGATCGCGGCTAACGGAGTGAGTAATCCGGATGCACTGTATTACATTTACGTTTATCATTAATTTAAGTAGTTTCATTAAAAAGACTTATATCTACAGAAGTCAGTCAGTGGGATCTTAGTTTACGAGAATTGAGTGCCAAACTTCTATTCGTATTGTAAATTCATCATTTGCTTTGTCTACATGAGTACTTTCGTCAAAATATATAACGCTGGTTCCAAGGAATATATTTTTAATGCAGATAATGTAAGTCAATATATGTTTTTTCCTGTTAATTCTGTAGGGTAAATAAATTATATATTATACTCGTAGGAATACTTACCTCTAATAATTTTTGTCTGTCCAATGAAAACAAACCCATTCCAGTCAGCGCAACGAAATCGTGGGCTAATTGATTTTTAAGTCTCTTTATCTGCAAATGAATAATTTCGTAAAAACTACAGATATATTATGTATATGCCGTGCGGTCTCAGCAATGAGACACCCCTTCCTTTCCCGTGGGTGTCGTAAGAGGCGACTAAGGAAACTTGATTACCAAGGGATGGGCAGCAGCGTCCCTCTTAAAACATAAAGCAACCAAAGCTTAATTGCAGTTGCCAACCCGTCTACAAAGCATGTCAGTTACTGGCAAAACTCCTTTTATGGGGAAGGCCTATGTTCAGTAGTGGACTAACTGTCCACTACTACTACAGCTGATATAATAATAATATATAATTATGTATAAGTTAATGTAATAGTAATGGCATTTTAATGACATAAATTTATATTTGCTATAATTCCTGTTTACGATTTATTGGTACATGATATTAAGTCCGCCTTTTAAAGTTTCTTTTTATGCAATTTAGAATGGCAAACAAGCTGACAGCCCATCTGATGGAAAGTGGTAACCGTCGCCTATATACATAAGCAATACCATGGACATAACAGAGTATATTATTTTGCCAAAGATGCTCCCCATGCGTTGCCATTCCTGAGGACTCAGGTGTTATTCCTCTGTACCCTGTAAATTCACTGCCATATCCCACCCTTCAAACCGAAACACAGCCATGCAAACATAACTGCTTCACGGGTGGGGGGAAAGGGGTTGTTAGTAATGGAGTTTGACAGCCCTATTGCTAGCAATATGCCCTATCAGGTCGACCTCCACGTGGTTCCCCCTGGAAACCATCGTGAACAATTCTTGTTGAATTCGTCACGATGGGCTAACTGGCTTGCTTCATCGTCACCTATCATCTTTCACTGGTGCCCAGCCGGTGTATATCGATAGCGCGGGTGGGGTTATCATTCCATTATCACCCATAAAAACCTGCTTCACGGTAGAAACTCGAATATGTTTAGGTGAACACGAATAACTGTTTAGGTGTATTAAAGTTAGTAAGTCTATAATGTGCATATTAATGAATTAACATTGTTTAAAATGAATTCATTAATGATTTCGACTAAGTAAATCTATATTTAGAGTTTACACTAACTACTATAATGGATTAATAGCTTTATTAATAGCTATTAAAGTCTAGAACAATCAACTTTATAAAATAGATTCATTATTTATCACAGAATTCGTGTGGCTACCCCATTGTACTAGCTCAGTAGTGAATAACCCGTCTAGTGCCTAGTTTATTATCCCAATATAATTTTAAGTGAGGCCATTGAACGCACTTTTGTTTTTGTTTATCCTCTGAATCTTTGCTCATAATATTGAATAGGTATATATAAAATTTTAAGACCAGAGTTGATGTTTATTATAATATATTAATATGTAAACTTCGCTCCGTTCTCCAATATCAGTAATAATTTTTAAATAGCTCTTGCACGTTTATTCAGTATTTTTTTTAATGGATGGTAATGGAATGGTATCCCCACCCGCGCTATCGGTATACACCGGCGGGGCACCAGTGAAGAATGATAGATGAAGATGAAGTAGGTCAGTTAGCCCATCGTGACGAATTCAACAAGAATTGTTCACGATGGTTTCCAGGGGGAACCACGTGGAGGTCGACCTAATAAGGCATATTGCTAGCAATGGGGCTATCAAACTCCATTGCTAACAATCCCTTTCCCCCCTTTATTCAGTATTAGAAAAGCTATGTTACTGCACTATACATTAAGCAATTTTTAAGAAATTTTTAATTCCATAAATTATGTTAATTAGGAAGGAGTTTGACTCCTTTCCTTCTCCATAACGTGTAAGTGAAGAGTGATATTATGTGGCAAGCTGTAGGAGGAGACATAAGTTACGTGACGTCACATCCTAAAATATACATTTTAAGATATACTTTAACTTATACAAGTATTGCATTAAAATACGAAATTTTACTTGTTAACGACAACCTTAAAATACTTCCAACTTTACCTGTACGTAAATAAAACTATTTTCGGCACTTATTTTAATTTAATATAAATTAAATTGAAATTTAAATTAAATTATAAAAAAAATGTAGAATGCAATAAATAATTTGAATTGAATTGAATTAATCATTTCTAGATGTAAAATTGCAAAACATGTGACGTCACATAAGAGAGTGGACCTCATAAATATGACCAGCTAAGACAAGGAGTGGGGTTTATAAAAAAAACCATGAAATTCGTGTGACGTAATTTTTGTAATTTGCCGGGTGATCCCGGCATAGAATAGGCCACCTCTTTCCCATGGGTGTTGTAAGAGACGACTAAAGGGTCTTAATGGTCGAGGGATATAGTGTCTCTCTCTTTTGTGAGGTTAAGAGTTAGGTAGTTAGGCTTTGGAAATGAAAACATTTCCAACGGCTTCCAAAGGCGGTTGCCAACACGCCTCCCAAGCCTGGCAACTACAGGCAAGACTCCCCTTATGGGGAAGGTTTATGTTCAGCAGTGGACAGTTAAGATCCGACATGATGAATTTATGGATGGCCCCTAATAAATAATATACGCGTACTGCAGTAAAAATGATACAGTCCTATATAAAGATATTATGAAAGTACATGGAAAAAGAGAGAATATGAAACAGGACACTAATGTGTTACTTCACCTAATGGTAATGTGTTTGCTAAATCTTATTAAATATTAACATACATTTGGTGTACTTACTGCTTGTACTTTATGTAAATCCTCCATTATTACACATTAAGACTTAGAACAAACAATTAAGCAGCCCAGTAAAATTATAATGTACCTTCCTACCTTCCAGGAATAAACAAACATCTATTCAATTTAGGCGAACCTAATTGCCTAACGCTAAGGATTTTAGGGCAGTTGGTTTTACAGAGATTGCTTCTTGGAAATTCAGAGCTACTACACTAGGTTATTATATTTGTTTTTAAGAAAATAGTAGTAAAATAGCTAAGTTTCAGTATCAGCGTTGCCAGATGCAATTTTTTATTTCTGCCCACATTTTAAATATTTTGTTCTTCAAATTGATACCATTTATTTACTTCTTCGAATCACGAACTTGTGTTTGTTTTCACCACGTTTTACCATCAATGAAATTATAATAAATAAATAAATTATTCAAATTTAATTGCAATTAATTTAATTAAATAACGTAGAGTTAGTGAACAGCATTGGTGGTTACTGTCATCGCGTGAATGAGATAGAACGAGACAGCAATATCTTATGGTTCGTTCTTTCTCATGGACAGCTAATTGAAATGTAACTCTCAGTGGACTGATGTTATCTGTATAAGGGAAAAGCTTAGACGCATTTCAGATCTTTGCTATTTTTTCTATACATGAATAAAAGAATAGAACAGAGGTAATCTTGATTCACATAGACTTGTTTACAAGCTCTCTTAAATTGATTTTTTTTATGATTGTACTGCTAGGTCTCGAATTATATGCTGGCATTATCTACTGAGAACTCACAAGAAACTTAACAGTTGTTCTTTTCAAATTATTATTTTAAATTTGCATGACTGTGACTATAATTAGAATTAAGTTCTATTTATATTATAGTAATTATTTATCAGATTAGGATAGGTTATTATAAGGTCTTCGTGGTGGAGCAAATTGTAGGTAATGGGGATAGATAATCCAATAGCCAGCAATATATCCTATCATGTCGATCTACACGTGGTTTCTCATGGAAACATCGTGAATATTTTTTGATGAATACGTCGTGATGGAGCAATTTTCATTTGCTTAAGCTACTTTCATTCTCATCTATCATCTCTTACTGGTATCTTGTTAACGTATATCGACAGCACAGACGAGTTACCACTGCATTATGATCTATTAAAAAAAACTTGTACCTCTCTATCTCTCCATTCTTTCAAAAATGATACTTACCTCTACATTATATCCTGACTTTGGAAGAACATTTAAATAGCTTAGTGCCTTCTTCGAATGGAGGTGGACATCAGCAGCTGCAAGCACTACGCTGCATGCTCTGAACAGCAGCCAACCAAGTGACAGAAAGTAGTAAGTACGGTTGATTATACCTTTTTCACCTTTACTGAAAAAGTGTTGGAGGATATTTATTTGTACTAGAATTCAATTGTTATAATAAGATTTTTATATTACAAATTGGAATTGCCAAGAATACGACTTACAAAAAGTATGAAACAAGGCATTCATTTAAAAATAAAAATGTATAATAAATTACTCATAACAATAACACAATTTCCAAGAAATAAATTTAAAAATAAAATAAAGACATTTTGAGCGACATCTGTTTTACAACGTGGCCGAATACCTAAATGCCAATATTAAATTTTGACATATTGTAATTTATTTATTTTTAATTGTAATAAGTGTGACAATTCCAATTTTATAACTTGTAGTCATCATTATTGATGTGTACCGTAATTAATTTATAATGTCATTTTTATTTTATATTACAAATATTGTTATTATCATTGTTATTATTTATTTTAATAATTTAAACATTATAATGTAAATACTGACTTGCCATGTACAGTGTGACATGAAACTGTTGTTATATTGGTTAATAAAGAAAATAAACAAAACCAACAAAACTGCGTACTTGATACATATGGCTGTACCTAATACACACAACGTACAAAATACAATAGCAGAGAAAATATCTAAATACACCGAATTCCAATACGAAATAACACGACTGTGGCACTTAGAAAAAGTGACAATTGTTCCGATTGTACTCTCTACGACAGGTGTGATATCGAAACAACTGCATCAGTCGATAAATACCCTAAAGTTATCATCCAATACTTACCATCAATTACAGAAAGCCGTAATCCTAAATACATGCCGAATTGTCAATTCTGCAAATTGGAGTAGAAATTCCTGGTACATCTACAGGTTAACATTCTAATACAGGTTAATATAACAAACAGATTACACAAACAAATTATGTTTATACAAAAAAAAAAAAGCACACAGTTATGTATTTGGCTTATGTTTGTGTACACCTGTAAAATCGGTTTTAAGCCGAAATATCCTAAACTTAAATAATAATAATATAATATTAAGAATGGCAAACAAGCTGACGGTCTACTTGATGGAAGGTGGCCATCAGTCAGAAAATGGAGGCCTATAGTGATATGATAAAGATGGTACATTTTCTTACTTGATTCCAAGGAACAATTGCAGGCAAATGAAATAGAAATTATTGATATTGGACAGTAGCATGAGTGGTCCCAGCTCTTTATCGACCATCCGTACTAGGGCTGCTTGACGTACATATTCCTCTCGAAGCTTCCGCCATTCTTGCATTTGTGTGTTTATTTCTGATACGAACTGCAATTAGGAGACATTATTATATTATTATTAGGATATGATCTCTGACCGAGATAAAAAATTGTCTATGTCCTTTCCCATCTTATATACTAAATTTCATAGTGATTGTTTAAGTGATTGAGGCGCTAAGAGCTAACAAACAAATACTCGTATACTTTTAAAATATTAAGGATTCTTTTATATTTTTTTTGTCAGATTTTTGCTATTATCTTTACCTAATTAACGGGTTCTTATCACAATATTTTTTTGCTTAATTCTAGACATTGTGAGTATGTACTTTTGTGACGACATTGGAGTGCATTCCGGTAGAGTTGTTCCAGACTAAAATAACCCTTGAATAAAAAGTGTAAACATGTGTATTGTGTGTAAATATTTACACTTGCATTTTATCAGTTACGTCATAACCATGACTCCTGCAACAGGCTTGAAATATTGACGCGTTCAAAACAAATAAATAAGCATCACTAAAATCGATCAACCAGTATGTACGTTATTATTTTTTTCTCTAACATGCTTGGAAAGGTGAGCATTATTTTGAAAATCTTCATCGAGATAAATCAAAATTGCCGTACTGGCCAGATACATGCGGGCAGCGGTCGGCAAAAGTTGTATGAAAATCCATATCTGTCGTGTTTTGCGGCCAGATAAATTACTATGTAAACTTATATCTGTCCTGTAATTTAAAAATGGAATGACATTTTACTTCGAAACATAGCTACCAAGGATGTAACTAATAAAAGGTTTTATTTAAATTTCGAACTGGTTTGCAAATAGAAAGCTGTTTATTGAAAACAAAAAAAAAAGGAACATTAGGGCGCGTGAAAAATTATTATTGTTCATTATTCGTCATTGAACTTAAAAAGTAAAATTGTATTTTTGATTTTCGCGCATTGTTTGAGAAAAGTACAAGCCTTGGCCACAACTAGGCATTGATGGACTCACGTATGTGTGCCTTGGCTACGCCTCGGCCCACATTTGTACGTTTGTCCATCAATGCCTCAGTTGCTGGCTGCTGCAGTAATGTACTATTACATGAAGATAAAATGAATGGTCTATACGTAGCCCTGTAACAGTACTAATTATAAAAATTTATATGTAATAATTACATCAGAAAATTGTTCACCTATGTTCATAAACCGGGATTAAAATTAACCCGTATCCTTCTCCATTCCACATTCTATGTGTAGGTAAAAACTAAATTTTATGATATCGTTAAATAAATAAACTTACTTTGACATTTATAAAATTAATAGGTACAAGTACATTTTGCTATGCAAAAAGGTTTTTGCTCCTCAAAGCAATCATTAGAAAAATAACAGATCTCCTATACAGGAGTAAAAACTATCAATTGCAGAAATATTTATTACAATTAGTTCAGAATTATTGAAGAAAATTCTATAAATCAAGATAAAAATACAGAAGAATAGAAAATTTACTCTTTATGGACGTCGTTTAATAAAAAAATTAAAAAAACACAAAAGTCCTAATAAATATTGTCAATTTTAATTATTGTATTTATACCACTGATTTCGCAAACAATCATACGGTCCACCTGATGGTAAGCGGTTACTGTAGCCTATGAACGCCTGCAATACCAGAGGTATTCCGCGCGCATTGCCGACACTGAAGAAACCTCTTTACCCCCTTTTGAAGAACCCCATGCTGTAGTCTCTTGAGAAAATAAACAATAAGAACATCTACAAACCTATTTTCATTATTAATTTTTTTTTGCGTATTTAGTGTAAAAGAAAAAGAAACACTATATAGTATATAAGGAGGAAATCGTTATTCAAACAACACTTTACTACCAACTGACTGACCTTTTTCTCATTCCTGCTGCGTTTCACTAGATTTTTAACATATACATTCAAGCGATGGTACCTCGACGTCAGTCCCATGCTTAACAAGATGATGATAAGATCTTGGAAGTTCCACAAAATGGTCGCAGATTTACTGAGCATAAACACTGGGATGGCTAGCCATAAAGTGTAGTCATCTGTGAAAGAAATTAGCCTAGCTTCACGACTTTCGTGGTTAATTCTGGAGGCATTTTATGGTGTACTTAATTTCGGTTTTATTTACAGCATTCTTAACGAAGTGTTGTGTAGGTATGATTTGTCAATTTAAAAAAAATATCTATAAGAGTTGAATTCCCGCAACGAGGGTTCCCTAATTAAATATATATACGTGAATTTACTGGGTACAGAGGAATAACACCCGAGTCCTCAGGAATGGCAATGCATGGGAGGTATCATGGGCGAAACAGTATACTCTGTTATATCCATGGTACTGCTCATGTCTATAGGCGACGGTTACCACTTTCCATCAGGTGGGCCGTCAGCTTGTTTGCCATTCTAAGTTGTATAAAAAAAATATTAATATGATATAAATTTAACTTTACGGCATTTTTCATACGAAATAAATACAATTAGTATTAAGGTTCGTAATTTATTATTTTGGGCCATAATTGTGGTTAAAAAGTTAACCGCATGACAAAGTTTGTTTTTGGATGTTTTTAGGTAATTTTTCAAAAATGATACTAGTTAGAAACACACTTTTAATTTTCCTGTAATATTAATTTATATCTTTATAAACTGTAATTATATTAGATTTTTATCTTCACAAACTTCGGTGATAAGTGACATTTTCAGTCATTACTTAAAAAAAAACTATGCATTATAAAAATAAATAAATATCAATTGAAAAATATAAAAAATATTTTTATATACGATAACCTACTTGAACTAGTAGGTCAATTTAAAAAAAATTAATAACCCTTTTTCAACTTTATTATTTTCTACTAATAGATTTGTGTACCATTTATTTATATTATAGTACCTATAATGTTTTAATTTACTATTAAAACACCTAAAAAATCGCGCGTAACACCAGGGATATTACGAACGCGTTGCCTTCCCTTAAGAAAACTTAATACGCCCCATTTTGAAGAACCCCATGCTGTAGTCTCTAGAGGAAGCCTTGACAGTAAGTTCATTTTACAACCTGAATATTAGCGAGAGGAAGGTGCTCAGAAAGAAACGCAAGAACCTTTAGGTGTATGTAATACATTAAAATATTTTTCGCAGATGTTATTATTTTGTTTAGTTGTTTTGTTCTGTACATTCTTCCTTGACTATAGTAATTTCACTTTGATTATATATTTTCCTACTAAAAACAATTTTTCCCCTTTTAATTATTTAGATCCTAGTAATTCATATCCAAAATAATATCCTAGAGTCCTTTCGTTCACACTCACCAGATATCTTCTCCACGGACAAAATATTCCCTTGTTTCTAAGAAAACAATAAAAAAAAAGAAACGCAGACAAAACAATATCTGTCGGATCAGCTAGTACCTATTATTAGTATTGTTAGTAAAATTTGAAGGGTAGACATTCTGCAAGTCATTATAGGAAGTAGCGAAGATGCTGACAACGTTTCTTTGTGGCAAAGTGAAGCTTAAGTCGCGTAGGTCAGGGATTTCTAGGATCTTTAGTTAAGTAATCCCGGATTAAAAGTTGCCACAATCCCGTTGTTTCCATTTTGAAAATGTAAATGCATTTTTCTCACTTAAGTACCTACCAGTAAAAATGGTATCCGTTTTAAGAACAAGATAAAATTTTATTTTATGTTTAATTTTTTTATTAATTCGTTTTTACTATTTTTGTGTTTTATTTTGCATTTCGTAAATTTGTATACAAATTTGCTAACTTTTAGATTTTTTTAATAACCGTACGTCTACACTAATTTTGCTAGGAAATTAGTAGATATTTATACTCCGTATTGAAACACAAAAAAGGAGTAAACGTTATTTATTGCAAAATGAATAAAAAAAAATATAGACATAATAGTATATTAAAAATGAGAATGAATTGAGAATTATAACATGCTTTTGGAATCAATTATTATTGTATACTTTTTTAAATAATTACATATGTTTACCGACTGGAAAAACAAGTCGCCTATACTCGTATTCTACTCCAGTCTATATATATTATTATACCATAGTTTACAGTGGTCGAGTAAGCTATCGCTAAGAGGTAAAGAGCAAACAAACACACTTTATATTTATAATATTAATAAAGATAGTAAACATGGCGAAAAACATTTATTTTATTTTATTTATACTTTATTATACACAAAAATCACATTGTTATAGTTTATTTCGAATAATGATGTACAACAGGTGAGCTTAACTTTGAAGAGTTCTCTTCCAGCAAACCTTGAGTGTAAAGAAGCAATTATGGTACATCTACTTTTTACTCGTGTCGTGCCTCTAAAACTCTACAATGTGAGCATAATTAACACTAATTTGGAAAATTGGATAACAAAATATTAAAATATCACGTGAAGCACTTACCGTAATCTATCAAAAATCCATGAGAACTCAAAATGTATTTCTCAAAATATTTTTCCGGAGGTATCTCGAAACCAGTCGCCGACATCATACTTAACATGTGCTCAACTGCAAATATGATTGTATATAAACAGATTTATATAGTTACACTATTGTATTAGGTTAGTACATGCAAAAATAGGGACAAGTATAGATATATATCGGTGCAGTACCAATATATATATATATATATATATATAATTATTATTACATATTTTATGCCTGATGCATAGAAACATCTTCGGGGAGTAGCCAAGCGTTGTAATATAAATATTTTGATAAGCGGTGACAACTTATAGGTAAAAACATAAAACGATATAGAACAAAATTTTGTGCGTTTCATTCCACACGACTTTCAAAGGGTAAAAGGTTAGACAACCCTGTTAGTTATTCACAAGTTCAAACAGGTGGAATTAAAAAACCCAAGTACATTATTTATTGAATTATAAAAAGAGGAGGTTCACAATTAGGCGGTATTTTTTGTGTTTATACATTGATAAGTTCTGGAATTTATTTTTGGAATCTGTGGGGTTGCCACCAAATTTTTGTATTAACATACATGTAACAATAATTCAAATCGAAAAACTAGACAGATATGCCCCTAATTTTTATACGCGACTTCATTTGTATGACTAGAATATGATTACTGACTTTGACCTGATATGAAGGACGAAGAAGTAACTTATCCTTTTCTATTCCAAATAATTCGTGTGTATTAATTTCAATAGTAATTTAAAATGGATCGATCAGTGAAGAGGTAAGAAACTAACTTTTAGATTTATGAAATTAGTAAAGATCATAAGGATTTATCTTTTAGCTTTTAATCGTAGTTTCTTCCACATGACTGGACTATATTTACTATATAGAATACGTCCCTACTTATATAACAAATGTTAAAATAAATGAATATAGGTACTACCTATATTATAAGTTTATTTAAATGATTTTAAGATTTGACAGTTCAATTAGAAAAATGAAAAATTAAGAATATGACTCAATGGAAAGAAAATGTAATTTCAACTTACTCTTAAAAGAGGTAATTGAAGAATAATTTATAATATTAATAAGGATATTATTGAATCACTCACTGCAAGCACAAATACCAACAAGGTTTGTCACGAACATAATTCTCCTTCGAATGTTACGATCACACTCGATATGTAAAGTGGACGTTGTCTCTATTTTCTCCCATCGCGTCGACAGCCACTTCCAAGAGGATATTAGTCTCCAAGATAATATTAATGACAACAATCCGTTACAGTAAAATATGGCCCCAGATAACCTGGCTGTTACACCGCCTGTAAATTTTAAAAAAATTGTCTCTCTTTTGTTTTTTACGAGCGTGTAATTTTTTTATGATACTTAGAATGGCAAACAAGTTGACTACCTACCTGATGGGGAGTAGTTACTGTCGCTTATAGATATGAACAGTATCATGAACATTACAGAATATACTATGATATCCATGATACTGCACATGCATTACTATTCCTGAGGACTACGATGATATGCCTCCTTTACCTTGTTCTTTTACTGCCATTATCCATATATTCCACCCTTCAGGGTGTCACTGGCTGCAAATGGTGTAGAACGGGTACTTTGGGATACCTATGTTCAACACTGGACAATAGATAGGCTGTAAAAACGATTTAACTGTTCAAACCGAAACACAGCCATGCAAGTACAGCTGTACTGCAGAAATAAGTAGATTATTGATCATAGTTATAATGCTATGGTAGTCAGAGACATTAATAAATTATTAAGTTGTGACAGATATAAAATGGCGTGATCTATGGCAGTTTACTACATGCATATGGTAAATACTCGAAGGTGATACAGATATGACCAAAGGATAAGACAAAGTCTGGTCATGCCTGTTCACGTTGTCTTGTTTCTTATAACACTTCTTATAGCTACACGATTGGTGTGTGTGGTGTGTTACGTAGTACTTTATTATTATTATTTTTCAAAATTCACAACTCTCCTCTTAAGGAGAGGCACAGTCTGTTGAATATTAGGGTTCCAGGAAGAGACTTTAGCGCACTATGTGGACAGTGCTAAAGAGCTATTTGCACCTTTCTTGGAAAAGACCTATCTCAAAATCACAACCGTTTAAGTTGTTATTCCAAACTGGTCGGGATAAAACCTTTGTCCTATATAATAATTATATTAATGTAATATCTCCATTTTGATTTTAAATAAATAATAATAATACTAAAAGACTACACGCGTCAATCTACAAATGTATAGGTTTACTGCGTTTTAGATTTGACATTAATTTTATTGATTCGGTAAGTCTTGTTACTATTGATTTTAGGTAATAAACTTCCTAAAGTTTTACGCTTTAAATGGAAATGAAATAGTTACCGAATGTACATTCAGAAATTCGAATTTTAAAATTTTACAGTTACTTTCTTTGCAGCGGTGTGGCAGCGGTCAGACTATCTCTGAAGTTTTAAGTAGGTGTAAAACTACGTTAAAGTTTTACCTCTTATAAATTGTATGGCAAAAGTTTTTAACGATTTTTATATTTTGTAGTATAACATCTGTTGATGCAATAGAGTGATTTTTGCATCCTTATTGGGAAAAAAGGATTGATTGGCACCGAAAAAAATTGTTTATGTAAATTTCCTAGTTTCTCTCTGTACATTTTTTTGAAATATGTGATTAAAATATATACAAAAGTTAAATACTGTCTTCTTAAAAGTTTATTAATTTGTCTGAAAAATACAATATGTCTATATATTTATATTGATTTTCGACTTGGGATCAAATCGAAATGACATCAAATGGACGTCAAATAGTATAACGCTACGTCAATTTGACGTCTATTGTCGTCTATTTAAAACATAGATTTAGTATAACCTACATATTTACTAATCATAATCTAAGATTCGACGTGATATTAATTTGTCTACAGTAAGTATTATAAGAATGCATACATACGCTCATCTTTGTTATCAACTAATCCCGCCAATGATTTGATAACTTTCCATATAGCTGCAAATTCAATTGCAAACAACATAATCAATAACACGATGGCCCATACAAAAGCTATCTTGTTCCCGTACGTTGGTATTCCGAACCATTTGGCTATAGTGAAGATGCGAGTTATTGTCCGTAGAGAGGGCTAAGAAAAAAAATTAATAAAAACAATTATATGTCTGACCTTCTTGATTTGAATGAATGATCTTATTTTTCCACAATCTTGGTGAAAGGTAGCTGTGTAAGTATTATATACTGGGGGGAAGGGATTGTTAGTAATGGAGACTGAGAATCCTATTGCTAGCAATATACCCAACCAGGTCGACCTCCTCGCGGTTCTCCCTGGAAACTATCATGGTTAATTCATGATGGTGGGCTAACTGGCCTGTTTTCATTCTCATCTATCACCCTTCACTGGTGCTCCGCCCGCGTATCCCGTTAGCGCAGGCGGGATTACCATACCATTTTCACCCATCAAAAAAAAAGTATTATATACCTACTAACGATCTTTTTCGGCTTCACATGTTTTTTTTTTTATTTCAGCCTATTTTAATTCATTATATCATCATCATCACTAAAAATTTGGTAAAACTAATGTTTTATATTATTATAGTGTTTTAATGAGGTTTTATTGAGGGGTGGTTGTTTGCGATACAGGTTTTATAACCTACTTCAGAAACAGATGTTTAAACTGATGCAAATTTACTAATGAATTTACTACCTACTTGTACTGCAATTTTCAGTGTTGTGTTTGTTACGATCATAGTTCATGGTTCCACCATTTTGACACAATTTTTTTGGTGTCATGCGTCAAAAAAATTGTGTCAAAATGGTGGAAAATTCACATCTGTGGCGTCCCGTTAGCGGACTTTGCACAGACTAGGTATTTTTAGTGTATAGATTTAAAAAAACCTGATTTTTCCGAAATCTAATTGGAATTATACAAAATTCAGATTAGATTTATATTCCAACTAGATTTCTTATGTAATTACTTACACTATACTTTACTTGAATTGCATTGCAACTGTTCTATGAGAAATAAAATGGGATCACCTATAAATTACCTTCTGTTTTTCAATTATTAAAAAACTAAGAATTTGTTAGATGTAAAATTATATATTTTTTGTACAATATAATATACTCGATAAAATAAAAATAAAATGGCTTATGTTTCAATACATTTTTTTTATACAGCACTTGTTTATAAACATGGACCAAAAAAGTCCCTCTTCAATTGACACTTAAGTGGGTCTCCTATTTCATTATTTTGCGTACATTCTTGGCGTTAGGGACAAGAGGTGGTTTGTTTACAATAATTTAAGCTTATCGCCAAGCTAGTTTAGACAAAACAATATATATGACATTATTATCTAAATGTCCTCTGAGCGGACGCTACACATTTGAGAGGTTAAGCAGTTTTTGAGTTTATTTATTACATAACAAACAAATTAACATACAGAAAATCGAATGTTTTCTCTTTACAATATTAATTCAGATTACCATTCCCTTTCATTTCTTTTTTTCCTCAGGTAATTGTAAGTACAAAAGAAGGAAAGCTTATAATAATACCCTACAGTTACCAAGCGGTTACGCCAGTATGAAATAGTAGGCTATATTTTTATCTTATGAAAAGGGACCCGAGTTCAATAAGAGGACCCGAATTCGATAATGGGTTATTATGATTATATATATGGTTTTTAACTTTCAAAGTTTAATGTCACCATACCACTAAGAGTGTGGACAAGTGAACAATAAGGCTTTACGAGTAATAAACCCATCGACCACCATACGGGATGGGGTACGGTGAGGTTTTTAAACGGGGAATATACCTTTATTTCTCCTATATACAAATATAGTCTATAGTTTCGTTTTTTTTTGTATTTATTATATAGATATTGGTATAGTTTTAGAGATGCTATTAAACAGTTACATATAGCTAGGAATATGAAATGCATAGAAAAATGTAAAATATTAAATACTAGTGTTCCGGCCCGGCTTCGCACAGGTAGGTAGAAATTTCGAAAATAATTACAGCTTATGTTACTTACTGATAATATAGCTTTCTATAGGTGAAAGAAATTTGAAAATATGTTGAATAGTTTTTGATTTTACTCAATACAAATAAACAAGCAAATTATGAAATTTTTCTTCTTTATAATTATAAATATAAACTGGAAAAATTATGAAAATATTATGACAGAAAATAACTGTAATGTAATAAATACATGTTCAAATGAATTTTTTTGATATTAATTTATCACAACGTGAATTATAAAATGATCTACGTCTAAATAAATAGTTATTACTTACATCATCTTCTTTTGTCATCTTCCCTCCGTTTGTAACACGTGCCTTTCTCTGAAATGCAATTATAAATTTCTTTGTTATTTATTATTATCTTATTCTTAAGTCCTTGTGTACTTATATAAAATACTTTTCCTTCGTACTTAATTTTTCAAGTTCCAAAAAGTACCTAACATCAAAGAAAGAACAAATGGCGAAAGGGCGGGAAATAATGAACAACCTTTTTATATTTTTTAAAGCCAACCAAATTATTTTTTATGACAAACACACTCGTTTATTTGAATTTGGAATTGTGAATCAAATCAGCCAGTATTAATAAAGGTTTTGATCTTTATACGTAGACAAACTACACGTTATATTTAAAAAAATGATTAAATATTATAATTATTCATATCGGCTTTTACTCACGTATTAAATTGTGATACATGAGAATTAATGTTAAATATTCTATTGTTTTGTACATAGCTGTCACGCAAGTGTAATTAATAATTGATGTGCGAGTTCCCGCTAGTTTTCCCAATAGGTTTTTTCTTTTACATACATAATAGAAATAAAATTTTCCAATATTTGTATTAATCTAAAATTAGTAGCACTATGGGAGTTAATCTTTTTAGAAACAATCGTCTAAAATTTGTTTGAAATTGGCAAAGAAATCGAGTGCCATAAAAAAAATAGTTGCGAATACGAGCCTGAGACAGCAGGCGTACGAAGTTGCACCATAAGGATTCCTTTATACTATTTTGGTAATAAGTCGAAATAGGAATCTCCTCCGTTACAAAATCGGTCTAAAATAGAAATTGTGTCTCAGTACCGGAAATAGTTTGTATAAGTTGAACAGAATACACACCTCTGGGAAATTATCAGATAAAATAGAAATCTGAGCTGTGTTGCCCATCGTTGCTGTATTCGAATAGAACATCACTACTTTCTTTACAGGCAATATTGACTTGTAAACATTTATTCGATATATTAATATAATAATAGGGCTAGTATACAATCAGAGTGATATATATAAATCACGGTCAGTTTGTATAGTTGTTAGTTGAGGCTTGATTACAGCGAAACAAAAGAATGTGTCATTTATTTATTTATATGCTTTTGTAAATTCACTTATAGATGTTAGGTTATAACAAAAATGTATCATTTATTCATTCATTCATATATATGGTGCAAAAATAATACTATAAATTATAAAGATATATTATTGGTTGCTACATAGTTAATAACAGTGTATAGATAAATTATAAATATAAACATATATATACATATTATGAGTCGTGTGGTCCCGGTACAGAATAGACCACCCCTCCCTATCCCGTGGGTGTCGTAACAATCAAAGGGGAGGCTTATGTTCAGCAGTGGACGGTGATGATATACATTCTAAATATATATATATATATATATATATATATATAAATGCCTGGTATTTTCATGAAGAATTGCTAGTTTGTAATTATCATTCTCCCATATCTATAGATATAGTATAGACATAGTATACATTTAATTCTGTTTCGTGCGCTGAAAAACAACGCTGTTGTGCTTTATTTACTACAAAAACAAGCAACTAAAGTCATTATTATTGTGACACAACCAGTTATTTTGATCTAAAACTAAACCACTGAACCGATTTTAATAAAACTTCGACGACGTTAAAAAAAAAGGACTTCTCTTTAACGTCGATTGAAAAATATGTGTTAATATGTAAATTATATAAGATACTATCTACTTAAAACAAAAAAAAAATAAAAAAAAACAAATACGATAAAATAAAAAATAATTAGTGCTCCATAAGCGAAATTTTGAGGCCGGTTAAACGTATTGACTGGTATCTCTAATTGTTAACTTATTACGTATACATTTTTTTTTTGTTATTTTTCTATCCATGTTTCTTTGGTCAAAATTATTTATTTCATTATACTTTACTGAATGTAAAAAGTATATTATTGTGAATTATTTTAAACTAAGAACTACAACTCTTTTATGTTTGCAAACCCGATAAAATTTTCGGTTTTATTAGTAGAACGCTCCTTTAGACTTCCTTAAAGTTTTAAATGATTCCGATTTTATATAAATATATAATTTTTTATTTTATTTTGTATTTTATCCATATGGATGAGATTCATTCATTCATGACGACAACGACGACGATGGTACAATCGAAGCTCCACTGCTGAGGATAGGCCTTTCCCTTGGCGGGGTTTGCTAGTAGTTACTATGCTTGGCAGGCGGGCTGGCAACCGCAGTTAGGTTTTGGTGATGTTTTAAAATGAACGCTGCTGCCCATCTCTCGTCCACTAAATTCCTTTAGTCGCCTCTTACAGGAAAGGAAGAGGTGGCCTATTCTATGTCGGGACCATACAGCCACATAAGTTGATTATAATATGGGTTTAAGCTTTTTTTTTTAATTTTAAGCCATTATTCTTCTCGTCTATCATATCTCTCAAACTACTCAGCAGTAAAGCAAAGTCGAATGATAAAGTAGTCAAATAGTATAATAAAAGTTGGTAATTGTACTAAATTAGAGTAGATCGGTTTAAGTGCGCACTAAAAATTAAGTCGTAAAACATTGTTATTACTCCCTCAGGTGTTAAATTTATTATAACGGAATTAATAACCTATTCGTATTCAAAAACAAGTATAATTGAACTCTGTGACTAGATAAATAGAGCTTATTTTCATATAAGATTGTATTAGAAAATTAATAATTTTATATAAAAAAAACAATACTGACAAAAATGCCAGTTTAGGGACCATTAAACAAGTATTATACATAATATATAAAACTATATAAATTATTTATTAGTATTATACATTTATATGTATATAACACCGTGTGGTCCTGGCATAGTGTGGCCGGTCATCCTTTCTTTTCCCGTGGGTATCGTAAGAGGCGATTAAGAGAACTTAATTGTCAAGAGATGGGCAACAGTCCACCTCTTAAAACTAAATGCGGTTGCCAACCTGTCTGTCAAGCGTGGCAACTATTAGCAAAACCTCTCTTATCACAGAGGCTTATGTTCAACAGTGGACAGACAACGGTTCATATAATTTATGTACTTATGTACTGTTGTATTTCTGTACCCTGTAAATTCATTGCCATATGCTACGGCCTACCCTTCAACTTCAAACAAAAACACAGCCATACAAACACAACTGCTTCACGGTAAAAACACGAATGGGACAGAGGTGCCAAAGCAAACGACTTTTGTACAAAGTCTCCCTCTGGTAACTAGTAAGTTGACAAAGTATGTTTAAATGTAGTATAGATCTGTCTAGCCTGTTTTTGAAAGAAATTACTATGTACTTGACTTCTTAAAATTTTGACATTTATAAACCTAAATCTTAAAATAGAATAGAATTAACCTTTATTCAAGTAAATTGATCACATTACATTTTCATAATAATATACTTTTAGATGAAGCGTCTAATAATAACATCCCAAATTGACGTAATAACGTCTCAAAAATCTGTTGGTAACGATTGCTACTAAATTTCATAACATTAGATTGTGTTATACAAAAAAACAACTTCAAATATTTTATTTTTAAATCACAATGATGATTTAACTAATGAACCGATATGGATAAAATTTCTATAGTATAGATTTTTTTGTAGTCCATTTTTGTTTTTCCAAAGGTTGGTCGAGAAAAAATGTTGTTAATTTCTTAATGCTATAAGTTCGATTTTTGTTAAACATTTTATGACTTAACAAAAAAAGACTTATCAAACATTTTTTTTTATACGACTTAGAATGGCAAACAAGCTGACGGCCCACCTGATAGAAAGTGGTAACGGTCGCCTATAGACATGAGCAGTACCATGGACATAACAGAGTATACTGTTTCGCCCATGATACCCCCCATGCGTTGCCATTCCTGAGGACACAGGTGTTATTCCTCTGTACACTGTAAATTCACGCCATATCCCATCCTTCGAACCGAAACAGCCATGCAAACACAACTGCTTCACGGTTGAAACACGAATGGGACAGAGGTGCCCAAGCAATCGACTTTTGTACAAAGTCTCCCTCTGGTTTTGTAATGTGATCAATAAATATTAAATAAATAAATATTTTGATGAAACGGTTTATTACTAACTGGTAGTTCTATTATATTATTAATAACAAAACTTCTTTACCATGTGGTGGCAAATTAGGTCAATTTGATCTAACTTCATTTCCTTTTATAAATGAATGATTTCCTCACCGGCACTTGACCGACGTAAACTAATAGCGCAAGCCAAGTTTTCATTCCATTTTCATCCACAAAAGTTACGACTCCAGTAATTTTACATCTTATAATACAAATTCTTCTCAGATAAGACTAAAAAAGTGAGACTGTTTTTATCGAAGCATTTGTAGAGAGACGCTATCTAGATGTTGTGGATCTAAGTTTATTAGTATTACGAACACGTATAAGCAAATTTCCAGTTGAAGGCACATTGAAAGTCGATATGAACTGTTTTAGTTACACTATAGAAATATATATAGCATCCTATTTTGTCGGCGACTCGATCTATTTCAAAATCTTCATGACGCAGTGTAATATTGGGTAAATACGGGTCAGGGTTTGAAACACAGCCTGGCTGATTTAGGTAATAATAATAAAATTTGATGTTTAAATACATAACGTATTAATATTACTGGACCGAAATCTACTAATAGTAATCATCGTCATCATATCAGCTTTTAATTGTCCACTGCTAAACATAGGCCTGCTCTTAGAGGGATTTTGTCAATAGTTGCCATGCTTGGCAGGTGGATTGGCAACCGCAGTTAGGCTTTGGTGATATTTTAAGAGGGAGGCTGCTGCCCATCCCTCGATTATTAAGTTTTCTTAGTCACCTCTTACGACGCCCACGGGAAAGAAAGGGTCATGGTCCCTTATTATTTATATGAACAATAACAAAAATCTAACATGTAAGTTAGTTTTATTGTTAAAAATTTCGTAACAGACATTATACTTTAATGTAAGCACTACCGGTTTAACTTATTTGTAATTAGATTGAGTCCACGTTCATACCCGAGAAGTTCCGAACGCCCGTTCTTTCTTATCTGTGACAGAGCCGCGAGCGCCTTCAACCCGCGTTCAGCGAGCCGTGGCGCGCAGTCAGGATCGCGCTCGCGTCACAGCCGCTCGTGATTAAGGATCACGAATTGATCCCGAAACTAGTCGAACTTTCTCTATCTAATTACACGTAAGTTAAACCGGTAAATACTACATAATAGTCCAATTTAGTTTTATGAACTTTCAATATTATGTTCATAATTCAATTTCCGGAAAAAATTACAACCATGTAGTTACCAAAATTAAGTTTTCGCAAAACAAATTTTCCGTGGCG